TGCCCGCGACTCTCCCGCTCTACCCCTCTCCCCCACTCCCCTCCCCTCTCGGGGACCGTCACACTCGCGGCCGTTTAGTGCGCGCGCGACACTCACGTAACGTGGTAACCCGCATCAGTGACGTTAGCTGTTAGTGCAGCTCTGACGCATATTGCACAGCTCGCGTCAATCGGCGCGGCAGGTCGATAGCGACTCGCGTCACAGCCGTGCAGCGCGTGCCTTTTCCAGCCCGTGGCGGTGGGTGGCGCCGACCCGATCACCCAGACCGTATTTATAGCCGCACAATTGGAGTCCCGTGACGGCAGGGCTGTCCGCGCCGGAGAAAATAGACGGGAATACCCAGTCCAGCGACCGGTTTAGACTATTGCGGCCGCAGAATAGGTATCGGACGGTTCAGAGATTACACCAGGATATTGGGTGACGACAGCGGCCAAAGTTGGCGCAGCCGGTCGGCCAGAGTGGCGCCCTGGGCGGCTGAGCTGCTGAGCCCGCCGCTGCGCCCGCACCACGGCCTGTACCGCCGAGTAACGGGGTCTCCCAGCGACCCTGAGAGAGGAGACGATGATCGCCGCCGGCGACGATCGCGGCGCGCCCCGTCGCCGCCGGCGGCCGACGGTGCGACGATCGCGCCGCACCCACCGCCCGGCCCGGTAACGGCCTCTAAACCGAGCGGCGATGGGTGCTCAGCGGCCGAGTCTGACCGACACGGCAGAGGTGCACGCGATCCGCAGCGCGTGATCGCTGGGTGTCAATTTAGACACCGCTCGATGCCGCTGACCAATGACGTCATACGACCGCGGCGGTCACGTGATCGGTAAATCGCCGGTAATTGGTGCCGGCTCGGTGACGTCGGCCAATAATGTCATGTATAATTTAAGTTAAATGTCCGATTAATTCAGTATGTTCTTCGGTGACGGTGTCGAATTTCGAGCATAGAAGGGCCAAAAGCTAAGATTGCACGCATGTCATTCATGGATACCTATGTTTAGTCGTTTGGAAAAAAAACTTAGGCATGGTGTTCTGATATTCCCTCCTCAGCTTGCATGATCATCTAATGAGTTATTTTCGCTAGCAAGTACATCGTTCAAAAACCAAACGCTCGCAATGCACAATGGACATCCTTTGAGGACATCCTGCGGGACTCATCACCGCACGGCGGATAGTAGTCACTAGAGAAACAATAAACTGTCCAGAGAGGCAGAGAAACATAACACGCCCAGACGAATACCTCCACCGACAACTGGCACAATGTCACCCGATCTGCTCGATTCGCGGCGTCACGACAGAGCGTCACGACGTCACGATGGAGCGTCATGACGTCACAGCCACGGCCTGCGTTACGTAAATTAATTAGCAGCCATCATCGTGACCCATCCTCGACAGGTTACGACTCCGACCGACCCATAATGGGTCTCCGCCTCCGAACTGATGGTGTCATCAGCGCACAGTGACTTTGATGGTGATGGTCGCTGTCATTTCAGGTCCGGAAAATATATATCCAGGACCTGAAGGCAGGACGGCTCGGGTTTAATGAAAATGAGCGCATTTGATGCGCAATGCAAAGCGAAAAGTTGTTTTGTGACGGCCCTTCTTCCTTCCTGCATTCCGTGATGCGTATGTTTTAGGAAGCTAGGATACAGAGCCGTATAACTCTTGGACGGTTCAATATCCGGCTGCGGCTCCGGTTCAATATTCCGGCTCCGGTTCCGGCTTGGTGGAAAATGATATACACGCACGAATTTCAATAGATACCTACACACTGATCCTCTATTTACAGAAGCAATATTTCACCCATCCTTTTATACTAGCTCCCATCGTGCCGCATGGGTTTCGCGGGTAATGAGAGGGGGAGAGAAGACAATTACTTTTCCGTGAGCCTTTCAAGAAATTCGTACCCTCGCAAGCAGATTTTTCACAAGAATTCTGCTCTTACGGCATCACGTGGCATGCTTGCACGTGCACAGCGACTCGCGTGCAATCAAGAAAGGGAAAACACCAACCATAAAGTATCAAATATAATCTCCTCGCCGCCTGGCCGTGGCGATTACAAAGTACCGATCGGCTATTACTGCTGCGGTGTGGATTACCACAGCATGCTGACCGTTTTTGCAGGCCATTTGCGGGGCCGAGCCTCACCTTTGCTCGCACAGTATTCCTAATTGAGATCGATACGCAGCACGCACTGCGGGAAGACGCCTCCCCCTCCCCCCCCCCCTGACCGGAAACGGGCAGCTTCCTCCGACGACCCCCCCCCCCCCCCGCCATCAGAGAGAATGGCACACCGCTCGGCGCCGTACGAGATCTACATATACCACACCGGAACCGAACCTTAGTTTAGGCACCGGCACTCGGATTCAGATCGCGCGCTGATCTAAACTAGGAATTCGTCGGCGTATTTCTGCAGCTGACCTACAACTCGTCGTTAAATCCGGCGCCGCCGCTCACCTTTACAATAAGCCGAAGTTGAGAGGTCGGAGGCGCCTACTCACAAGCCCGCCAGCGTGCGGCCGTCAGGGACCGAGAGGTCGCCGGGTTAGATGGCCAGGATGTCAATTTATATCTGCCGGATACGTCTGAACTTGTACGGTCGGGGGTTTTCTGTGATTACCGGCCATACTTTGACGTTAGTTCGCATTATGAAACCATGTGACGCAAACTGAGTGTAGTTGCTCGCACTTACGTACTTCAATTGGAAAAGTTGCAACAGTGCGCTTTGCTGTAGCCTGTAGGTAACACAACGCTGGAGGACTGTTATATAAGCTACATCAAAGCCTGTTTCTCAACAGAACGACCTAATGTCCGCCGGATCAAAAGGTAGCTTGAAACGAACATCTCAATTGGCGGCATGTCTTCAGTCGTCGTAAGCTGTTGCAGCATCAAATGCAATATCGGGACTGACTTCGTTACCGACTGGTGAGGTGGGACTCCACCTGTGTTGCATCAAGCCTTTCCGGCTCCGGTCGTCCGTCCGTTACCCAATGACGGTGGAGGTGTATGTATGTGTCTCCACCGGCCACCTTTGACCCCCAGTGGACGACATCTCGTCCCTCCGCGCCCCGACCGTCACAGCTGTCACGCAGTGACGTCACGACCGTTGCGGCAGTGACGTCACGCCTGTCACTAGTGACGGGCGTCACTGCACGGAGTGTGTGCGTGTGTCGCCAGAGGCGCACACAGGAGTGGTTTTAGGGAGGTCAGAGGTGTGGAGAAAGAGAGATGTAACGAGTCTACAAATGGAGAAAAGGGAGGGAGAGAAAGAGAAAAAAAAACAAGAGAGAGAGAGAGAGAGAGAGAGAGAGAGAGAGAGAGAGAGAGAGAGAGAGAGAGAGAGAGAGAGAGAGCGAGAGACAGACAGACAGACAGACAGACAGACAGACAGACAGACAGACAGACAGACAGACAGACAGACAGACAGACAGACAGACAGACAGACAGGACAGAGGGATGGAGGGAGGGAGAGAGAGGGAGGGATAGAGAGATCATCAGCTCCTTATCCTTTCATAAACAATGCTGTTCCATGCTCACACGCCTTGAGTTTTAGTTATGTCTGTTCTGCACTGCACGGAAGCAAGGTCAAAACTCGCGGATCCGTCTGTTCTGTGATAAATGCACCATTCGCAGTCGGTCGCTGATGGAACGAACAGCCACAACGAGGGGCGCAAGGCAATACGAGTTGGGCTAGAGCTGATAGAGGAGCTAGAGCCTAGAGGTGCAGATGGGATACTCAAGTCCGCAGAGGCACTGGCGGATCCAGAAAGGCGATCTTGGGCGCTGCTGGGGCACATCCCCAAAACAGCTTCTAGTTCTCCAAACTCCCAAACATCATCGGATTTCGAGTCTTTACGCACTGCTGTAAAGTTAAAAAAAAAACTCATAAAAGTTATTCGGTTTTCCTTTTATTGCCAAAAAAACGCAAATTTTTGGCGAATTCAGGTGCTGAGAAGGGGGGGGGGGGGGGCATTTGCTCCAAAGGTTCTCCTTAGATCCGCCAGGTGGACTGAAGTCGGCAGAGGTGGTAAGCAGAGCTCCGCGTTATGTCGAACAAGAGATCAAGCTGAGCCGCGCCAGTTGAAAATGCTTGAAAAAAAATCGTCGAAAGTGCTTATGTGATCATTAGTGTGAACTGAATGTGTAGGTGGTATGTGTACTGTGCAGGTAAAATGTGTAGCTGGGATAAAGTAGTTAGTCAGTTACGTGCACATTTTTATATAATGTCCGTTTCCTCTTGGCTATGCCATTTCAATTTCATTTCAAATCAATGAAAGGGAATTGCGCTTAAATGAAACCAGATCTATCATCTTCCAAATCCATAGAACTTTAAGGTAGTTCAACGGTCTCGTCGATTTTGTCATTCTTGTACATATTACCTTACATACGGCAATCATGCATCAGTCTGCATCAAACAAGCACTGGCCACCAGTAGCGGCGGAACACCTTCAATTAAAGGGGGGCACTGCCGACTTTTGGTCCCATTCTTTCCATGCAACGCCCATAGGGCTAATGCTAAAATGCCCAAATCAAACGGGGGGCACGGTGCCCCGGTGCCCTCCCCGTTCCGCCGCCTATGCTGGCCACTAGCACAGCACATTTGTATAGGTTAATTTGGTCCAATGCAGTCAAATACAAACAGGACTACACCATTTCCTCTAAATATGGGATCATTCTGTAAATTATCATCGAGCGTCCCCACCTTTGCTATCCACACCTATGCAAATTGATGTAAAACCGCTGATTTCATTCAAACTTTCCAGCATTCTGGCAGGTCGCTGCTGTAAAGTACCGCCTGATAATTTCAGACTAATTCACACGATCAGCTGGTATTTCGATAGCCGCGAACAATGGCCCGGCAGACGGACAGGGAGGCGCCGTCCACCAGACGGTCGCCGGCACTCTCTCGCCGCCCGCATCGATTCCGTGACGTCACCAGGCCCGGGCGTCTGAGCACCCACCGGAGGGGACGGGGGCGGGGGAGGGGGAGGTCACGGTCGCGGGTCACCCACCTGGCTCGGACTCGCCACTAGTTTCGCCGGTGGGCGAGCGTTTGGACGACTCTTCCATCCCGCGGCGAATACACAGCACCATCCCGACGGGCGGCGGCGGGCGTACAGACGGTCCGACCACACCCGACGGCGCACCGAGCCCGACGGCCGTCGACACCGACAGCCCGTGGACGCACGGCTGGCCCGTCCACTCCTCTCATGGCGACACCGCGAACTGAAGCTGCCACGCCGCTTCGGCCGTAGTATAGCACACCGCGCCGCCGCCGAACCGGCCGCCGTCCGCAGCCCGAGCGCCGCCTCTGATTGGCCGACGGCCGTGTGACGTCACCGCCCCGACGGCTGAATGAATGCCATGTTGAGATGCGGGGGCCGTATACGGCGGCGGCCGGCGGCGGGGGCGGCGGCGGCGAGCGCGAGCGGCGGCGGCCGACCCGTCTGCTCCCTGGCCACGGTCCAGGTGTCACGAGGGTAGGAATCAGCGCCTGGTGGCTGTCTGAGCGCCAGCCAACTCTTGTCGCCATGTTAACCGACCCCGAGCAGGGTCCAAACCCCCCGCCGCGGGTTTTGCCCCGGCGCTACGGCCGTCCGCTCAACCCAAGGCCGAATCTGTTTAGACGTGCAATACGGCACGAACTCCAGGAAACCGTTGCAGCGAGACACTGACCCCTGAGGCCGCCGAGAGACTTCTATCGGCCAACGGAGTCCACCGGTAGGGGCATTGAATCTCCCCCCTTCACTGCCCGTGCACAATGCACGCACCTCTGTCCCCTGACCGCTGCGACAGCTGGATCACGCGGAAGCGGAGGTCGTCTGGAGCCAGTGCGGCTACCGCTGCTCCCGGCGGGCGGTCTCTCTCAATGGCGTCACCGTTTGCAGAACCGCGACCAGCACAGGAAGCGGACAGATTAGCTCGACTGCCACCCCGAAACAGACGCCGCGCGGCCCGCTCTGGAGCACGGGTTCTCAGAGAACGTTCTCGGCAGCTGGACACTGTTTATGGAAGGTTACGAGAGCGGCGTGCGTCACGGGAACGGGCAGACGTAGCGGGAATTGGGCCAAAATAAACGCGATGGAGTAAAAACGCAGGGAGGCCTCTGCAGTATGTGCGCTATTTGGAAGAGGCGAGAATTCTTGAATGTTTTTATGGTGTTGTAACAATGACAGGAGCACAAAATGGATCTGTTTAGGTAGATAATCCTGATGCTAATATCACTCGAATGCGTCACTGGATGACGCTAAACTAACGACATGAACGTCATCAACGGTTAAGTGAGATGTATTCGTGAAGACGACGTGAGTGATTAGATGACCCTGTCACAAATCAGTGTCATCTTCCACCGGTCTGATTGGCAGTCATCAATCATCAGCCATTGTCCGCTATTAAAAGCGGTCAGTAGTCAGCAGCTACCGACAAACCCCCAGCGATCATCAGCCCAATCGGCAAGCGGCAAGCGCCCAGAGCCCAGCAATCCACGAGCGCCTGCAGCGTCCGGCGGCCAACAGCCGCAAGCGGTGGACGCTGCGGGTTACATCACATCTGGTGATGTCGTCTCATCGTGACGCTTCATCGTGACGTCTCGTGGTGACGTCGTGACCCGTCCGGCCGGTACCGTGATGTGACGTCATCAGTTGCAGATGATCTGTCGAGATCAGCTCATGGGACCGCACGGAACTGTAACGGGCCGGGCCGGACCGTTGTCTTAGACCGCTACGAGGCTGTGGTATTAAAACAATGCCGCAAAGCTCAGCCAACAGGAAATGAGGTTTTAACCTTATCTCTTCTCTATTTATAGAAATGGCACGTAATAGTTACGTATTTACCGCTATGCAGGAGACGTTTTTAGTAGTAAGTACTTATTTCATTCAAAGATCATTAATTCATCACGTTATATTTTCAGGAAAGTCTGGAGAAAGCCAAACTACAAGTTTGATAATGACGTCTAGCAGAGCTGCAACTAGGAGCAATCAAGGCGGGATTTCAAGCCCGCTGGTCCCCCAGCCCAGATAATATTCCGGATAAGGACAAGGAGAGGCGACACAACAATCATCGATTTTATCTCTAGGAAGAAGGATTTAGATCTATTTATGTGATTCGACAGACGGATGTTAGGGCCACGACGTAAAAACAAAAATCAAAGCACAGAAGTGCTGTGATCGGCTTAGCGGCCCGTTAGATTGCGCTGCCACTGCTCTCATCAGTGAGAAGTTGGCTGGACAGTCGCGCAGTTGATGTCGCATCACTCCACTCTGGAAACTCGGACGGAACTGGTTAGGTACTCACTCCAGCCGCCCGCACTGCCACAAATACCACCCGAGCAGTCCAATCTGAATTCGCAGCACTCACGCGGATGCCCGATTCCGAGTCTGCAGTGGTCAATACATGCCGGGTTGACCTTTGGTTGTCAGTTGTCCGAACTCAGAACCAGCTCGTCCTGTAGCCGGTAGCCTGTGGCCTGAAGCTCCCACTCCTCATTAGGATTCAGCTCACCTCGCGCCGCCAGACTCCATTCCCGGCTATATGATATCATTGCATGTGTCGGTTTTAATCCGCGCTGCTAAACTCGGCTTGGTTCGGAACAACAAACCGATTCCATTTGGGAGCGCGGTCGGCGCCTCGTCACCTTCCCCGAATGGTAATATGATGTCACGGCGCGCCGGTGGCGTGTCCGAAGGTACGCTACATGCCGGATGCATTCCCCAGACACGAGTCGTCGCCGAACACGATTGATTGCGGTTTACAGATGTCCACAGTACAACGCCCGAGTAGCTTTGTCATATTCGGTCATTGGACACACCCGTAAAAGCCGACAACGGTCCGCAACCGGTTACGTAAGAAAATGCAACTTCCAGAATGTTTGCGGCGGCACGAGCGTCGGCTCCAAACATGGTCCGTTCCGTGCGGGCGGCCCGCTGGAGCGGTAGGTACTCCACCCAGCTGTGATGGAGCTCGCTGAGTACCGGCTGGTCGGCTGGGCAGACTGCTGGCTGCTGGCCGGCGAGAGGGAGAGGGAGGGAGGGAGAGGGGAGAGGGAGGGAGCGTGGGAGCCGGAGACATTCATTGAACATCGGTTGCTCCGTCGCTCCACTGCTCGAATTGAGTCTCCGCTGGTTTACGCCCCACCCCCGCCGCCGCTGTCACGTGACCGTGGGAGATATCTCCGTCACCTAGCTCCTGCTTCCCACGCGGTCACCTGTTCCAATTCTGGCGCGCCGCGGCCCAGGTGCGCCGTGCAGCGCTACTACGTCGCCCCGCCCCGCCCCCGGAGCCACGAAGCCCCGCCCACCCACCGGATCAGCCCCCAGACGGATCTTCTCATTGAAGTCGGAAGTCAGTTTCCGGCCGCAGTCGATTCCCAGCACGGTGAATGACGTCACACAGCTGGTGTGACGTCACACCTCCGGCCCCCATTCACCGGCGCCCCGGATCTCGGCGCGCGCGGCTGCAGATATCGCGTCGTCGGCGCACCGTAGGAGGGGGGGGGGGGGGGGAAGCGGGGGGCGGCCGGCAAGTTCACTGCCAGGGCCGCCGGAGTAGAGCAGAGACCGGGAGGGGACGGGAGGGGGCAGGACGAGTCAGCCGCCGCCGGTTCTGCCAGGTGGGACGCCGCCCGTGGCCGCCGGCTGCCTTATTTGCTGACGTGCGGCGACGGTGGCGGTGGTTGCCAGGCGAGGCGCGCGTCACACCTGGGCCGACTTTCACCCCTGACCTGGGCCAAACGAGCTGCCACCGGGCGGCGGCGGCGGTGGCAGTCGGACTCCTGACCTCTGACCTGGCCGGCCGGAGGACGGGTTCGGCGAAGGGGTCCGTCCGTCCGCCCGTCCGTCCGTCCGTCCGTCCGTCCGTCCGTCAGTATGTATATTACGTTCACGCCCGTGACTGAAGGTCGCCCAGTCAGGAGACGTGTCGGAGGCTATGCAAACAGCCACGGCCTTCCGAAATACAAACAGAGAGCATACCTAACATCCGTACCCATGTGAATGTGTGTGGGTACTGGGTAGGTACTGAAACAACCCGCACTTGTTAGCGATCAGATTTTAGCGGTCAGACAAGCACCCGTGTGTGGGCGCATTGATAATAAGATGCGTGCGGCCTGCTATTTTCAAGGGGTTTACAACAGGATGTGGGTGTCATTGTCTATCCACTTAATCATCTTTCCATGCATGAATGAGCCCACAATGGGTGAGGCCGGCACCGATCCTGCTAGGACTAGGCCACTTGCAGAATACGCTGCACCTCGGTGCACGCACATCCCCGTTTGCATAGACACAAGGTCAGTCCATTCATACAACCAGCCTCGTTCGTTTGTAGCTTAGTTCAATGCCATTGAAATTATTTCATTGAAACTCCCCACCTGTTGACCCATATTGTGAACATTGCCACCGGGAAGGGTAGGCCGTTCAAGATGCAACTGAATCCACCTCTTCCATTCAGTTTCAGACTCATTTATCCAGTCAGGTGCGGCTGTCTGAAAGTAAGCACCTCTAACTTGAGGAGCGTGAGAGAGAGAGAGAGAGAGAGAGAGAGAGAGAGAGAGAGAGAGAGAGAGAGAGAGAGAGAGAGAGAGAGAGAGAGAGAGAGGACTGCGCGCCTCGGTCGTGGTCACGTGACCCTCCCACGCAGCGCGGCGGCGAGGGGGAGGGGAGGGGAGGGCAGGCCGAGAGGGAGGGAGGGGGAAGGGAGGGGAGGGGAGGCCAGGCACTGGGTGGGGAGGGGAGGCCAGGCACTGAATGCATTTACGAACATAGTCATATAATAATGCATTGGTGGATCAGGGAGGACATTCCCACCCCCACCCCCGGCGCCCGAATTCGACGAAAATTTACGTTTTTTTAGGATAAAAAAGACTTGTATGAGGAAAAGTTTGTTTTAAATACACCGAAGTGGGTAATAAATCGAAACCAGAACATTTTTTAATTGGAGACACTTTTTGGAGGGCACACATCAAAGACCGCCTTTCTGGATCCGCCAGTGTAATAATGAACATATCATGGACTTCGATGGCGAGATACGTTGTCGGTGGTTTCACTTCACAACTGTTGTAACACTTATACTTTGTGATTGTTCGCGATATCCAAGGTGATGCCGTTTTCCACTCATATTACAAGTGCTCTACGTTGCGAAAGGTTAATGTCAAAATACTACGCCGGTGATTACCCTTTCAGAAATGACTATAAGCACATCCGATTCAGGCCCACATACAAGGGGTGTCCACTGCCCACGGCATGCATTGTAATATTACGGCTTATAT